ATGGGTCTGCAGCACATGTAGTTGGTATGGATTCTGTATGCAGACTGACAATGTGGAAGGGCACAGTTGCAAGAGGTGTCCTGCAGGTGCCAGAAGGAGGGGATATTCCGCCAAATTAAAGGCATAGGACTTCAAGGAATCCAGTGACTTCCTATTCTCTGTATGTTGGAGGTGTCCCTGTAGTGTTTCATAGTAACAAGCTCCTGATTAAACCTGTGTGGTCACTTTCTAACCACTGCCTTTCTTTTCTTCTCTCCCCCCCCCATCCATCCTTCATGGGTGTCTAATAGATGAGAAGGCACTTTCCCCCTGTTGCCATTCAGAAGAACAAACAGAACTATTTCACAGCCCCAGAGATGACACAGACCTCTGCTATCCTGTGGAACACCCCCTCCTCCTTCTGAGCACTGAGCTTCCAAAAGCACAGCGTGTTAGTGGCATGTACACATTGGCATCCCTTGAGCAGTAAGAGCTGCTGCAAGAAGCATCCTCTAGCATGGAGAAGAGCTCCATCAACTCTTTAATGCCTTCCAGCCTTAGGAACAGCCTCTTGGGCTCTTTTGGGGCAATTCATGGTCTCACTGGAAGACAGGGAAAAGAATTAAACCAATCCTCTTCTCTCTTCTGTCCACTGAGAATAAAAACCTTCATGTTTCTACAGCTTCCCTCAGGTTTCTAACTATTTCTACAGGTCCTTGACAACCAAACCTCACAAATTCAGTGTGATGGAGGTGGTCAGTGACTGCCCTTGTATCACAGGCTGATAAAGAAGAGAGAACTTGAATAAGGCTCCTGGGACAAAGAAGAAGGAAGTGGCAGAGTAAGGGAGAGAAAGACCTGAGCCGTGTGACATCCAGGTCTTCATCTTTCTGCTATACAACGTCTGTGCTCAATGTTAATGCACGTTGAAGGCTATGCAACATCTCTGTGGCTAATGCCACTCATCAGAAGGAACCTCCAAACTACTCTGAGCAGCTCAGTCACTCTGGGTCAGTGTTCATCAGCCCAGGCCTGTAAGATATCTAAAAGAAGAGATTTTACAAAGTCAATGAAACCCATTAAAATAAAAGACCAACTGCCACTGCAGTTTGTCCTGCATTCCATATTCCTGCCTGGTGCAGAAGGCCAGCAGTGTTAGCCTTCTGCTTCCACAGTCGTGCTGTAACAACAGTGAGGATGGGGGCTGGCTCTTGGTCCCTCCCTTCCCATGAAATAAAGCCTATAGTGAAGAGCAGGAATGGGTAAATCATAGCTCCTCTGTAGGTTCAAAAGTTGCTTGCTATTAATCAGAGATTTTGAATGTCCAAGCAATGCACGTCCATGCACCCTGAGCCCAAGCACATGTACAGAGTACTCATCCCCTTGGATGCTTTGGAACACCAGATACACATGCAGCAATATTACCTTAGGGACTAGTTTATTTCATAGAATCATAGAATCATAGAGTAGTTAGGGTTGGAAAGGACCTTAAGATCATCAAGTTCCAACCCCCCTGCCATGAGCTCTAAACCATCTCACCCAAGGCCTCGTCCAACCTGGCCTTGAACACTGCCAGGGATGGAGCATTCACAACCTCCCTGGGCAACCCATTCCAGTGCCTCACCACCCTCACAGTAAAGAGCTTCCTCCTTATATCCAATCTAAACTTCCCCTGTTTCAGTTTGAACCCATTACCCCTTGTCCTATCACTACAGTCCCTAATGAAGAGTCCCTCCCCAGCATCCCTGTAGGCCCCCTTCAGATACTGGAACGCTTCTATGAGGTCTCCACGCAGCCTTCTCTTCTCCAGGCTGAACAGTTTATTTGCATACTCCAACAGGCACAAATTGGATTTGGTCTCTAGTTGAAATAACAATGCATGGAAGAGTCTCCTTTGACTTGTTTCCAGTGGGATATCCAGCTTTTAAGCACTTCAGACACCTTAACATGGGGAGAACCTCTATGTATTTATAGCCTCCAACATCCAAAGTATTTACAGCTATCTACAGCTCTACTCAGTTGTCTGTAGCAGTGCCACATACTTTAAAACTCATGAAAACTCCATTCATTTCTTCCTCTCAGACCAGTCCTAACATTCAGACCCCAGAGTCACCATGTCAAGGCTAGGTTGACACCAACTCTACACTGAAAAGCTTAACTGTGATTTCAGATGGAAATTAATCTAGGCACCTCTTGCTCCCTAATGGATTTTGATCTACTTCTCCACAGTGGGACAATATCTGGCATGGGAAGTGATGTCTGTTTCTCACAAGGCCATAATTATGAAGCCTACAGGGAAGTGTAGGTCAAGACAGAGACACAATGACATAGCTCTTTACCAGACCAGAAAAACAGGAATGATGAGGAGCACTGACACGCTGCAGGAACAATGGCACATCAGTAAGGAATATACTTGCAGCAAGCAAGCTCTGGCTCTGTTTGGTCCTTCTCAAGCTGTATTTTCATTGCTATGGAGAACATCCAGCTAATACCCCATCACCCAAACCCAGGAGCAACTGTTTTCAAACATGGCAAGACTCTAGAATCCTTCTGAGTAAGAGAAATAGTCACATGTAAGTACAGACTCAGCTCCTCCTCTCCTGACTTTGAAGAGGAACCTTAGACTTTGGGAAATGGAAGACCTCAAGAGGATACGAAAATCGTGTCCAAAGCCTATACCTCCTTTTTGTAACACAACTGCACATTTGCCATCTTTCTGGACAGCATCTAGCATCCAATAAAATCACGGTAAATAGTAAATAGATAGTAAATCACAGCAATAACTGCCCATCACGTTACACACCGCAAGGTGAAAATGTGAGTGTGCTCTTGAAAAGCTTTTCTGACATGAAAAGACCTACTGAGACCTCTTCCAAAGCAAAACCAAGATGTCTGTCCCAAGGCAAGATGTGATCAAGACGAGAGAGAGTCATGAACATCACAATGACATTAAGACAAAACCATCGGTTTCACACAGACAGACTCCTGGGTGGCAATACGAAGCCAAGAAAAGAATGGGTCTTTCATGGATCACACAAGGGGAATATGCTACACAACCAGTGGTTCTGAAAGGAAGATGATATTTTTCCCTTTGGCTGTCCTGACCAGACAATGGGACCAGCAGTGTGAGGATCTCAGACAGACAATGGACACAACAGACAGAGGCACTCTCTGCAGAGCAATGACTGAACTGGAGAGAATCCACTCCAATTATTCCTTTTGGAGGGGGGAATTTTTTGTTGTTTAGTTTAACTCCATCAAGAGCTGACCGTCCCCCCCCCCAGTGATGCTAAAGGACACCCAGCAGGTTCACAGCCACTCGTACCCCATCCCAGCATCCATGATTTTAATGCTTAGGAGGTGCAGGCTGTGCTGTATTAATATGCAAAGTGTGCCTGCCTTCCCAATTAAATGGAAAATGCTATGATTAAAGGCAGTCAGAAGATATTAGATGGATAGTGCTGAACTATGGGCTTTATTTCCTACACACAGGAGCCCCACAGGAGTGCTGATGGAGTACATGCTGGGGAGATTACCACAGGCAAAACAGAGCTAGGAAAGGAAAAATGCTTCAATATGTAAAAAGGAGAGAAAATGAGGAAGCTGTTTACATGAGGACTGAATTAACACAGTCCCTCATCCTGGTCTCTCCGACACAGGCCTTCTGAGCCACACATATCTGGAGGGAAACCAAGCACCACAGCTCACAGAAGCTAAATTCTGGCACATCATTTGGAGGGAAGAAGGCCTCAGAAGCAGAGTGAATCACAGCATAAGGCCCAGAGAGAGAGCTCTACAATTCATAGCTGCACAGACCAGAGGCAAAGCTCAGAGGGGATGGCCTTTTCCTATGCCCCCTCCTTCCTTGTTAGCATCAGCATGTTCTCCTCTACCACCTATCTGGGATGGGAGAAGAAAACCCAGTACAGCATGCTGGGTAATTTACAATTCAACCCATGAAGATGAGAAGATAGAACAGGAAACATTAATAACTGACTGTAGGGTTCCCTCTGCCTTACTGTGAAGGGCTCGCTCTAAATCACCCCATGTGGCTTTAACCCTCCCAGCTCCGCTCTGCATCTCAGTCCTAGGCCATGGAGCCAGTTCCCCCCACTAACTCTTCCTTCCTGCTGCACCCTGTGTCACTGCTGCACTCCCTGCCCGTGTTTCATGACTTGCATTTAATTAAAAGAGATGGCAAAGTCAGGTATATTTATGGGGACTTCTAATCCCCACACTTGCAGTTGCTATGGGTTTCCTTCCAGAGTTTGCTGTTTCTTCCCTACCCCCACCACCTAACAGGCACCAGAATAAAGTCTAATAAATTCTGCTGTGTAATTGGCTGTATATTTTAGGGGTCCATCTATCCCAGTGCTTTCACAACAGAGGCCTTCAAAAAATTACTGTAAGGACAGAAAACCCTGGGGGAGAGAGACCAAAGTGCTTTATTTCCTCCACTGACTGCTGCTAAACTGTTAGAGGTACGAGGCTGGAGTGCTGAGTGGAATAAAGCCAGAGCCAGGGGCAGCTCCCACGTCACAGGGCAGCACCTGAAGGGAAGCAGCTGCCACAAGCTGCACTTTTGTCCAAAAGCAGAGCTCACTGTCCTGCTTTGCCTGTCTGAGGGAACGAGAACCACCATAGGGGCTAATCAGAGAGCACTGCAGGCCTGCCCAGTGTGCAGTTCAAATGAGGTGCATCTATTAATGCAATAACTCTTCAGGTTCTAGTGCTGCTCTCACCTGCTAGCACTCCAGAGACACTGAAAAGCCCATGATGCTCTTTAAATGAGCCACTTCCACCACGGACTCTCCTGAGAAGGTTGGAGAAGAGTCTCCAGGTTTTGAGGAATACAGAATTTCAGCTGCTCTTTGTCTTTAGGAGGGATTCTTTTCAGCAGCAAAGTGCCCCCAGGTGAAGCCACACAGAGGAAAGGATGCAAAGTACTTCCAGACAGCCAGCTTAGCTCCAATATGGGTTTGCAGAACCATGTGTAATGATGATGCACGTTTCTGACTTACCCTCTGAAGCGCAGAGCTGGTCATAACAGGTAGGATGCAAAGTACACTGGAGTGAGCGGTGTTTGAGCAAGCCTGTGCTGCTGTCTGCCAGAGCCTTGCTGGGGATAAAGAGAGAACAGTGGTTCAGCACACGGCAGAGTATGGAATAGAATCACGCAATGGTTTGGGTTGAAGGGACCTTAAAACCCATTCAGCTCCAACCCATTGCCATGGGCAGGGACTCCTTCCACTGGAGCAGCTTGCTCCAAGCCCCTGTGTCCAACCTGGCCTTGAGCACTGCCAGGGATGGGGCAGCCACAGCTTCTCTGGGCACCCTGTGCCAGCGCCTCAGCACCCTCACAGGGAAGAGCTCAGCTCAGTGTCCCCTCTGTCAGTTTAAACCAGACTGACAAATACAAGTGAGGAGTGTTCAAAAGGTGACACAGATGTAAATGAAAACACCAACACCACATCAACATTATGTGCTGTATTTGAAGAGCTCGACTCCAAGTATTAGAAATACTGCCAGCAGTTCCAGCCCATCACAGGACTCCTCTACAATGACCACTCTTAAATCGTCAGCACTTAGCAGGATTTACTGGTTGTAGTCTTTCTCCATACAAGGAATCCCTTCTGCAGGAATACCCACACCTGCTATCAGCAGAGCAAGGTCTCCTCATATCCAAATTCCCACTGACCCATAGAAATTTCAAACCCACTGTTCACTGCTCAATCCAGATACAACATCATGAAACAGGAGGGAGGGAGAAAACACATTCCCTCTGGGTTGTTCATTTAAGTAAAAGAAGAAATGAGAGAAGAGGAAGAAATTCCATGAAGTTGGCACACATGTGCCTGCCCCGAAACCACACAGAATTATGGCCAAACCTGGATGCCTGAATACCGCTCCACGGTGTTTGCAGAAGCTAACACCCCTTCCTTCATTCACCATCTTTCCCCACTCTGAGTTTATGCCCAGTGTTAATGTTACTTAAACCTCACCTTACTTTTTCCCTTCTCTCCTCTATGAATTTGATGCCGGGTTTCCTATTTCCCTCCATTTTATGAAGGAAACCTGACTGTACCTGCCCCCATGACTACAAACCCCACCTCACAGGAGCCAGTTTTATTCTGGTGATCAGAGGGCTGCCAGCCCCATTTATGAGTGGACATAAGATCTCCAAATCGCAGTGTATGTGGTGTAGTATAAAGCCAGGTCAATGAGATTAAAAGTATGTCCATGAGAGAGCTGGAAGGCAATTGGAGTTTCATGCTTCTGTGCTGATTGGGCATTCAGTCTAAGGAAACCTGTGTTAATAACACACTTGCAGGCCCTAGGAACAAGCTGCACATTATTCATTATTGCAGCCTGCCTTCACCAACACCCCCTCACCATAAAAAGAGAGGAAGAGAGGGGGAAAAGCAGCTCTCCCCCTCCTCCCTATTCAGATGAAGCCATCAGGGAGGTGGTGCCATTGATAATGAATGGGCTGAATTAACAACAGAAACACTTCGCTTCCTTATCATATGGTTCACATAATCAAAATGGGAAGGGGGAATGACAGGGGAGAAGAAAGGTCTGAGCCTCACATATGGGTCCCCCCCACCAACTGGAAAATACATGGACTAAACACAGCCCAGCAGCTTCTAGTCACATACAGAGTAATCCCCTTGCCTTTAAGGAACCCTGTTTATTGAAGAAACAACACCCTACAAAGCTTGAACACCATGCTTAAAGGAGCCTTAGCCAGGCTTGGGTAGGTCACTGGAATCAGAGCAAACCCGAGTGATTGGTAGATGTGGGCCTTGGAGCTGCACTGGATCTAGGGCCAAAAAGAACGCAGGCTGGGCTTCAGAACAGGAGTGGGCTGGCCCACGGGCTGGATGCAGCAAGTCCTGCAAACTTAGGTTCAAATTCAAGTACCTCCCAGGGCTGGAACCCAGGCCAAGGTTTAGGTTCAATACCTGTCATGGTAACTTTTGAGTGAAGCTCAGAGCTTGAGCCAAAGTTACATGTGGGCTCAAAGCTGTTTCTATCATTCTAATTCACGCTGTGTCTCCCTGCAAATAACTCCTAGTTCAAGCCCAAATCGAACTCCTCCTCTTGCTTTGGCATCACACCCAAACTCCCAACTACTCCTACCTAACACAGGAATACTGCCACCCTTCAGATAACACAAAGCACCATGTAAACAGAAGGGAACCTCCAACGAATCCAAAAGTCACCTTTCCTGTTTAAAATGTTTCACTCTCCACCAACGCTTCTTTTCTTCATCATTGTAATAAAGATTTTAAATCAAGAAACATCACAGGATGTAATCAGTTGGTGGTAGGGAAAACGTTCCCTGCTTTGTGTCCATATGGACTCTAAAATAACTGAACATTTCTTACTTCTTTCCCCATGCAAGTACAAGGCCCAAATTCACTGTGCCCTGATTTAAGAAAGGCTGAGAATCTACAGTTCCAGTATATTTCAGTAATTGCTGTAGGTGCCCAGCACTGAATATTAAGCACAACTACTGAAAACAATAGAGCAGAAGCATCTGGAATGCAACACCAGCATCCTGAGGACAAAGGAAGGACATGAAGGAAGGAGCCTGGGATGGGACAGGAGCAAGAAGAGATGCCAGGGAGCTGGTATTTTTCTGGGCATTTCCATCAGGAAAGGTTCACAATGTTGCCCTTGGGACTATTCCAACCACTATAGAATGAAATCCCAGCTCAGAGATCCCTGTGCACCCACAGAGCCATTGCTGCTGAAGGGGCCAGAAACTGTTGAGTAAACCCATCTCCGATAGGCAGGGAGATACCAGGATGTTCCTGGTTCATTGCTGTTTAATCTGCTGTGTTGTCAGGCAGGGCACAGGGCCAGGAAAAGTTCCCAGTGCCTCAGCTCCAGGGGTGGACTGGCCTCACAGTGTAGACAAATAAAAGCAGAAACGCAAAGCGCCAGCAGCACCAATCTGATTACAGAGTCATTTATTTTCTGGTCGTTAATAATTTGTGCAATAAAAGATTGCGTGCCTTTCTGAGTTAGTAGGAGTTATTGGCACCAATTCCCCTCCACACTGGTGTGAGTCTGTGCTTGGAACATAAATTATTAGTTTCTTATCGCACTCCTCCTCATTTTTCATGCTGCCACAGCTCGATCGCCAGAAGCCAACCCCTCGCTCTCGCTCTCATTTTATGCTGGGTGAGAAAGGCAGCAGAGATGGCTATTCCATCTTTAATCCCACAAACTCACTTGTGCACTGCTTCTCCCCTACATTTCCTGCTGACTGGTGTGTGCACTGAGTTGTGTGTGTGTCCCCCACTATTTGAGGGGACAGGCAGGTATTCCTGCCATTCTGCACCTCCTAATGAAAGCCCTGTTCTTTGACACCACTCAGAGTAAGGAAGTGACAGGCTCCCACCATCCTGCCAGCCCCTACTGGGTGTCTGTTTGGAATAGTAGCATGTATCTCAGTGTGAGGATAAAAGGAGACTGGAATTCTTACCCTCCTTGAAAGAGTGGGAGGAAGGTGCTGGCACAGAGTCAGACTGTACATGAGATGGCTGGATCTCCATTACAGGTTAAGAGGTTTGAGTCTTGGACGTAGCTGAGGAAATGCTCAGGCTTTCTCTTCCTATAGCATTAAGCAAGGGAATGAACCTCAACGTTCCTCCATAAAATGGATTATTTACTCATGCTTCCAAAGTATGTGAAATTCAGTTACACTAAGCATTGGATCTCATTTAAAGGATATCAAAACATCCTTGTTTCTCTGACACGCGGTGCTGAAATGCTCTTTAGCAATGCTGATTGCTTTGTTAAATACACCAGCCACACATAAACTACACCAGAACTCTTGGACCTTGCCATGTGTTGGCCTCATGATGTTCCCCATTCAACATGTCTCTTTCAATTGTGTCCCAGGAACGTCTGCACCAACATCTGCTGAAGTTCAAAAGAAGCAGTGACACATTGAGGCGACAGAGCATGTCTGGCAACTGCAAACATACTTGCCAAGGGCTGTGCAAACCATAAGCGTCTACATGTAAGTGAAGTCAGGAGGCGAAGGAGTAGCTTTGCTTTCACTGAAAGACAACTACTCACCAGCTGAGTGCTTTTCTAAGCAGCACCCCTTCACTGCAGTCTTTAGATCCACAGCCTCCTACTCTCTCCTTACGCACTCCACTGGCAACTCTAGTCACAGCCTCTGGTTACAGCCAAAGCCCACTGCTCTCCCTCCCCAGTTCCTGAACTGCTGAATTCCTGCTGCATAAACCACGTTGGGAGAGGCAAAAATGACTGTGAGTAAAGGAGATGTCTCTCTTACAAAGGGTGTACATGCCACAAGCTCCTCTGGAGCCACACGCTGGAGATCACAATGTGTTTTATTCAGCTTTACAGAATCCTTTCTCCTGCCAATATGGCAAAGCACAAGCTGCCCTACAGAGGCCTGATGTTGTCCATCAATAACAGAATGATGTGACGTGCTCAGGGCACCCCTGTGTATGTATGTATGTTACAAGAAACACATACTCCTCCATTGCAAGAAGATTTATAACAGGAGTCTTGGGCAGGCACAGCACACATATAAGGGTGTATTGTCAGTTCAAGAGTGATGGATGGCTCAGTGCTGGGCATGCCTCTGGTGATTATACTGCACTAGTGAGTCACCCATCATTTCCAAATGATGCTTATGTCTACAGGGTAACAGCCAACACATCCATGGTTCACAGTATGTTCCAAATGACCACCCTGAATCCTTATCATCTGCTGAAGGAGCGTCACTAGGGCTGCTTCACTGGGTTAATTTCTGTCTGAACCAAAGAGCAGCCTTCTCCCCTCAGCACAGTTAAAACCTCACCAGCCACCAGCACATAAGAGAGTGGCAGCACATCATCCCCACCATGTGTAGCAGGAAGCCCTTGTGCTGCAGAACATCTCCCAGGCTGCTATCCAACTGAAGTATTGCTCCACAAACCCCCAGCCCACCTACCACCATCTCAGTGTGCACCTCTGTGAGATAACTCCCTGCTTTCCCTATAGGAAAAGAGGCTGTTGAAAACGTTAGCACAGGAGGGAGTGGAGCTGCAGTCATGTCACAGCTGTAATAAGCATGTTTAAGCCTAAAAATGAATGAAAGCAGAATAGCTGCATGATCATTTAACAGATCTGTCCTTGAAAAGAAATGCAAAGCCGGGAACACCAGCATCACAGAACTCCTTCAGAGCAGAGATTCATAGATCACAGCAGCAACCTCTCAGGTCTGTCACATATTTACACTAATGGACAGCAAAAAGAATCTTACATTAACAAAAGCAGTGATTCTGCGCTGTGCATGGGCTGCTCCTGGTTACTGGATACACATCCTGGGCTTCTCCCTGATTTTCCCACTCCCAGATTTACATATCCCATGCTGTCTCCATCACAATCATAGTCGCACTCAGTTTGCACTCTCCAGTTTAAAGCTGCAGACTAAAACAGACAAAACACCTAGTCCCTTTGCAAATCAAGGATCAGGATAGGACTGGAAGCAGGTACTGAAAATAAGTGAGTAAGCAGAAGGTTACTTGACTGCAGAATGACCCAGAAAGAAGAATGAAACAGAGCCACCAGATAAACTGAGAGGGTACCTGAAATCAGGGCTTCTAATTCACTGCATTCAGAAGAAAGGCTGACTGTCCCTCAGGATCTGAGCATCCAAAATCCTGGGAAGTTTATTTTAAACCCATGGCACAGGCAGATTTCCATCCTTGGAGAGAAAAACACTGAAAAACTCCCACTGATCAGAAATCTCAGGCCTTCCCCAGGCCCCCAGACTGTCTCACATTAGAAGACAGTTCCCTAGGGCTCCGATGAGCACATCTTCCTGTGATTGAACAGTTTTAAGGTATTCATCACTCCTTTTCCCACTTCTCAAGAGAATTCCCTTTATCTCAGCCCATTCCAGATTTATTTTGCTGCCATCACCACCTGCCAAGGCCATGCTTTCTGTAGAACAAGCTGGCAGCACGCCACAGGCAGGACTTGTCAAAACACCATCTCCATGCTGCCTCTTGGAGGACCCACACCTGCAACATCTCACTACCCTCCCCAATTCCTTCCTTACATCCCTCACAGACAGCTGGCCAAGCACTGATGCAAAAGCTGGAACCAAGCTGCAGAAGTGTTTAAAACATCTGGTGAAGCAATGGCAAGACACTCAGGGGAGGTTACAACAGAACTTGTCCAGCAAAGTGTCTGGGGAGTTAAAAGGAGCAGACACATACCTCAAGAAGTACCTAACAACCAACACAGAACTGGACTTCAGTGCCCAGTTAAAGGTTACAAGCAGGCTGACAGCTCTGCAGCTGAGCAGTCATGTTGCAAACCCTTCTCAGACTAGTCCCTGGAAATCCGGTCTGCATCCTTTGCTCAAAGCTTGCCAGCTTAATCTGAATAACAACACAGAAATGGGCCCTAGAAGGCTAAATGCTATTGAAGTAGGGCCAGCCAGGAAGATAAATTGAGCAGCACGCGTGGCTGAGGCCTTTTAAAAGAAACAGTGCACTTCCTATTTCCACATCTTGAAATCTCAACCCTGGCACGAGTTCCTCAGTCTCACCCTTCCTAAGAGATCAGCACTTCAAGCAGACATCCTTCTCTGCATCCCTTTCTCTTCCCTACAGCCAGCAAGCCACTGGTTGAATTCATGGCGTGTCTTTGCACAGCAACAGCAACCATCATCTGAAGTTCATGAAACACTTGGCAAACAGTCCTTTCTCAGCTTTCCAGTAGTACCGTGGGGAGCCAGGGAAGCACCAACATGGGCAAATATTAGCATGAGTTCTGATGGGCATGGCAGTGATGTCCAACCCTTCCCATGCTTTCGGAGCTGTGCCCCAAAGCACCAAGAACCTCATCACAACGTTCTGCCATTCAATATTCTTGAATATTGCAGTAGACAGATGGATTTCTAAATCAATTTCTTCTATTTATTCTCCTTTTGGTTTTACTTCAGTTGAAGCTGATGAACATTTGCTGCCTTACAGTTCTGTGCACAAAGATGCAGAGAAACCAACTTATTACCCTCAACTTGTCCATGGAATAAGGAAGGCACAGAGCAAGCATCTGGCATTTCAGAAGCAGGAGACAGGAGCAGCAGACAACTCTGTTTGCTGGCAGACAGCTCCACAATGACCAGACTGTTCTAAAATGGACTGTGCACATTATACCTACTAAGCATAAAGTAATTAATTCCTTTTGTTATATACAATATCATTTCTAGAAAGGGAACTGTTCTCCCCCCGTTTCTCCCACCCTTCCCAGTGTGAGCTTTCCATATATCCCCTGGAAAATCTGCCACTGTGCACTGCACAGGCTGTACTGCACTTAATGAGGCACTTCAGGTTCAATGAGGTCCTTCATCTTTTCAGTTCTAGCTCTGTGCTTCTCCCTTCCAGGCATCTAAGTTGGCTCCTGCACGACCTTCATTATGGTACTTCTTTTTCCTTAAGTCACAGCTCCATGGTTTCTCTGCCTCCTGCCTCAGGGGTTAGAGCTCTGGGGTTCTGGCCCCAGATCTGTCACCGAGCTGTTGTGACCATGACAGTAAGCCAGGAAAGTGGCATTTTTCAAACTTGGGTGCCTAAGTTTACTGAGATGATTTACATCCATAGCTGATATTAACAAACAACAGTAACGATGACAGCATCCAGTGTCTCACGCTTCTGTCTCCCCTCCCTCTTTCCCATTTCATTAAATCCAAATCTGCATCCCACCCTTACTTCAACAGCCAAAGCTAACACAAGCTTTACCTTCAAGCCCAGTATAATCCATACTCCCAGTCCTTCTGGAAGCTACACTCATACTGCCAACAAAACCTTCCCTAAAGGCTAAATGAGAACCACAGAGCTGAGTTTCTGCTATCGACCAATGCACTGACCCGTCTTCCCTAATCCTTTCACCATACACCACCAGAGTAGAAAACAAAATTCATTTTCTTCCTTGGGATCCACAAGGAAGAAATTAAAGCATCTGATCTCACTGATCTCACAACAGGTCCATAGAGCATGAAAACTGAACCTTCCCACCTAATACTTTATGCACATGCCCTTCCTACAAACCCCTCATAAAAGGCTCTCTTTACGGTAATCTGTATGGTGACTACACACCTTTTTTTTTCTTTAAAGCTAGAGCTGTGTAACATTTCACGGCGTCTGTTTGGTGCTTTGAATGAATCCGCAGGGAGACAAAACAATACCATAGTGCACACGTATGGCTCTCCATCAGATGGACTTTGTGAGTAATCCGATTACCTACCCTCTGAAATCAAAACAGCCGGGGAGAGGGGGGTTACCCTAATCCTAGCGCCATCTCTGGGAACGGTTTATCGTGCACAGCTCCTTAACAATGGGAATTAGAGCAGGGTTTTCCCGTTGGTAACTAACTCCTGCACCAGCAGAAGCCGCGGGTCCCACCGAGGCCGTGGGGTCGGGGTCCCAGCCCGGCTCCATGCGGCTGTGGAGGAGGGAAGAAGCAGCCGAGCGGGACGGCGCCTGGGGCCGGTTCGGCGGGGCCGGGCTCCGGCAGCCGCTGCCTGGGGCCGGCCGGGGCTGGCGCCTCCCGTCCCCCCCCCGGGGCGCTGCCGCCGCCGCC